ATGCCCTAAGAGAAACCCCTGCTCGCTGGAAATATGTCGACGACTCCACCATTGGGATCAGCGTCAACAATTCTGCTCCCGACTATACCGCCCTTCAGCATTTATTGAACAGTCTCCAAAACTGGGCCACCACCACGTCACCATCAACCATACCAAGACCATGGTTATGCACATCAACCTCTCCTCCGACGTTGTCCCACCCTCTTCCATTACTTTAGGTCCCAACACACTCCAGGTTGTAGATTCCACTAAGCTCCTGGGTGTCACCATAGACAACAAACTAAATTGGAAACCACACGTCAGTGAAGTTGTCAAATCCTCCAATTTCTGTCTCCACCTCCTCTGCCGACTCAAGTCCCTCAGAGTTCCTGCACCCGAGCTCCTCAGTGTTTACTCAACATTCATACTTCCCAAGCTCACCTATGCCTCCCCTACCTGGTCTTCCTCCCTAAATGCCACACAACGTAAACAACTAGAAAAAATGCAAGAGAGGGCATGCAAGATTATTCTCTCCCCTTCCTACTCCGCATATCAAGAAGCGCTCAACACACTGACCTTCTCGACTCTCACTGACCATTACCAGGACCTCATCTGCAAATTTGGTGAGAAGTTTCTGCATCATCCTCGACACCGGGTCCTACTACCACCCGAGATCCCTAGCCCGAGAATTGCTGTTAGACACCACAACCGCATCCAGCCCATACGAGCACGAACTGATCGCTATAAGAACAGCCCAGTCCCAACCATTGTAAAAATTATCAATAACTTGTAATAAACCAGTGTATTCACTCCCAGTAAATCCTACTTTTTTCACTGTCATTGTTGAAATGCCCTGTAGATTGAGCTTCTCCCCACCTAGTTATTATATATCATATTTGTATCACTTACGTTACTTGTACATTATATTATTTGTAAATCAAGAGACCCATTCCCCAATTATGTAACTGTATATTTTCAGCCTTCCGGCTGCTATGCTCTTTCAATATACCGTTAATTATTATTATTATTATTATTAATATTATTATTATTATTACACACAAGAGAATTAAGACAACAGGCATCCAGTGAGGGTCTTGTTGTGTGACTGCATGGAGGCAAATTAAAAGATCAGCTGTTGAGGAGCTTATTTCTTGGCAACACTGGTGCATGTTATCACTCCTTTCCACTCCATCTCTCTAATCACCCACACCTTTCTGCTTTCTCACTTCATATTTTAAATGTTATGTAATGTAATGTTGAAGGGAGACAACTTTGCTCATTTATGCTTATCACAATCTCCCTAAAATACTTTAGGTTTCGTGTTTATTCAAGATATCTTCAGGTCATGAGACCCACTAATCCCCCACCCAAGAAAGGGTGACCCGACATTCCATCAGAAGGTCAGTAATATGAGACCACTAATCCCCCACCCCACCTCCACCTGACGTCGAGTTGGGTCAGGTCAGGTTCTCACAAAAATACTTTAGCTTTTGTCTTTATTCAAGATATTACCAGAAAATGCTTTAAATTTTCAACCTCGGAAAATTTGTTCCCAAAGCCATTTTTTTAATTCCGGTTATGGGAATGATTTTCCAAGCAAATTTCAATTCCGGCTATCGGAGATTTCCAGGTTTGACAAATTCCGGCTAACGGAGTCCAGGGGCCACCCCCCAAGTTCACAGATTTTTACTTCGCGGTTCTGTTATTCACGGATGACACCCTGGAGGTACCCAGGAATGTCTGTGGGTAATTTTAAAGTTGCTGGCATTTTCGCAACTGAGACAGGGAGCCATTCGTTCTAGAGACAGTAATTTCCTTTAACTGTATTGTAAATATTTGTGTGTGTGTGTGTGTGTGTGTGTGTGTGTAGATACACACAAACAAAACACATACAAATAAATAATAATTGGAAAATTCTTTCACAAATAATCAGAAACAAATTTATTAATAATGTGAGTCTCCCTTCAAGTCCGTGCTTTAGTACTTTATTAATAAAGCATGGACTTGACGGTAGACTGTCACATGTTTAATAAATTTATTTCTGATTATTTGTGAGAAGATTTTTGAATTATTATTTATTTGTATGTGTTTTGTGTGTGTGTATTGTCCTAAGGGCAAACACATAAAGGGAATATACATTTCTTTGTACAAAAGTAAAAATGAACCCCCTCTGCAAATGTTATTCGCAGATTTGGCGATTCGTGGCCACTTTGAGAACCTAACGCCCGCTTCAACAGACCAGCTTACAACAGGAGTCAAAATAACACACTGTACAGTGGTCCCTCGGTTAACGAACGGTTCGATTTAACGAAATTTCGGTTAGCGAATTACCTCCCATAAGGATCTTCAATTCGGTTAGCGAACAAAACTTCGATTAACGTAATCCTTACGAACAACACGTTTTGTTGTGAGCATCAGTTGATCAGCTGATGGGCTAGTCTGCCAATTCAGTAATCTGTTCTATGTTTACATTCGTTTCCAGTGAGTAAATATCAGGAAAGTTGTGCTCTTTAATATTTTTGCATTTTTATATTAAAATTATTAGTAATTTTAAAATTTAGTTAACATATTGATATACCTGTAATATGCAGTACAGGGAACTAGTTTTTTGTGCACCCATCAGCCACTTGACTTAGCCACCAGGCGTCAGTTTGGCTTTATTTACAGTGGAGTGAACATCTATTTTGTTGGTGTTTTGAATATTTTTGCATTTTTACATTGAAATTATTGGTCATTCTGAAATTTAGTTAACATATTGATAATATATAGTGCAGTGCAGTGTTGACTTAAATAAAATAATCTTGAATTACACCTAGTGAACTTAAAGGTTTATTGGTGAAATGAGGCATCAAGCATGGGTCCCCTGAAAGGTGATTTCTCCTCCACCCTCATTTCCTTCTCTTCTCACTTCTCCTCCACCCCCACTTCTAATTCCCATCACCATCATCAACCAGAAGCCTTCTAAATACACACCTCAAAGTAAGTGTACTTAACTGCATTTTTTTTTTTTTTACTTTGTATGTACTTTTCGGTGAGCTGGAACCAATTACCCCATTGAAACAATGGATTCGGTTAACGAAATTTTTGGTTAACGAATGACTCTGTGGAACGAATTGTGTTCGTTAACCGAGGGACCACTGTATAGTATTTGAAATGAAGATACCTTCCTAACAATGTTATTTACTACCTTTCAGTGTTATATGATGGCTCAATTTGGCTACTTGTGCACTTAGAGAAATGATAAATGAATAAACCAAGGTATATGCAGATACACAATATTGTACACCACAATATTACTTATTAAGTGATGATAAATACACTACAATAGTATTTATTAAGTGGTGATATATACACGACTGTACTGTAATAATTTACTAAGTGTTGAAGACAGACAATGTGGTAAGCCGATCAGCTGTTTGCCCTTTGTAAACAAATGACTCATGGTGTTCAGTGTGGGATTCATTTTTCAGGAAAGCTGATTCTTTTAGGATAATAGTTTATCAAACTGGTACCAAATGATCCTAAATTCTAAGAGAAGTATGGTGAAATTGCATAAAAAAGTGTTAAAAGGAATCGTGGGGGAGGGAGCCACCCACCCATGCTACCCCCTCCCCTCTGCCAGCTGCTCCTAGATAAACACTCATCTGCCACATTAGATATACTCCTACACTTATTTGTTCATACTTTTTATCTCTATAATACTGTACAGTATACAGTTTTCTCTTTATTCATATGACAAATTCTGTGGTTACTTACATGTAACACTTTACAGTAAATAACAATCACCTCGGTGACAACCCAGAGTGTTGTTTCATATTTTTTTTTATTGTTGATGTAATATTCTTTTAATAACCTTGTTGTACACTTAAAGACCTTAGATGTTCAAGTGCAGTAATAACATAACAACAATGATTTTCTTTAAACAGTTCAGATAAGCAGTGTTATCCTCACCCCCCATATATTCGTTATTTTCAGAGTTTTGCATTTTTTGGACTGTCCTAACTAGTCCGACTTATCGAGGTTCTACTTTATATATATATATATATATATATATATATATATATATATATATATATATATATATATATATATATATATATATATATATATATATATATATATATATATATATATATGCACCTAGACCCCGACTTACGACGGGGTTAGGGACCCAAATCCAGGTCGCAAGTCCGACAAAGTCCGACATAGATAAAAAAAAAAAAAAAAAAAAATTAATAAAAAATCTACAATGAAATACAGTACAGTAAAAGTAATGAATAATGATGAATGGATACAGTACAGTGAAAGTAATAAATAATAAGGAATGGATACAGTGTGACTGAGCACTTAACCTTTAATGTAGTCAGCTGAATGCACATGGGGCCCCCATAATTTTCTAATTATACATGGAGACTACATTAACTGGAAACGTTTCGGTATAGAAAATGCGTGTGTCATTTAAAAAAAAAAATTCTGCTCGTAAGTCCCGACGGTCGTAAGTCCACGTAGTCGTAAGTCGGGGTCTAGGTGTGTATATGTATATATATGTATATATGTATATGTATATATGTATGTGTATATATATATATATGTATATATATATATATGTATATATATATATATATATATATATATATATATATATATATATATATATATATATATATATATATATATATATATATATATATATATATATATATATATATATATATAAATATATATTCCATTACAATTATTTCAGTACTGTACTGCATTTATTTCTTCACATTTATTTCTTCAGAATTGTAAATACTTATTCAACATGAATAATAAACTACTGATGCATGTCTTTCGCAACCCAATAACTTTTTCATACTTCTACATGGATGGATTTCCTTTGTGGTCAAATTACAGTTTGTGTCATCTCACTGATCAGATGGTTCTGTACCAAAATATCTGTCACCAAAGTTGCCAATTCCAGGAACAATGTAGAATTTCTCATTAACACAAGGATCAACAGCTGTGGTCACTATTCTTACCTTAGGGAAGGCATAGGCTATGTTGTGGACACCTGCAAAAAAAATGCACAAAAACTGTATAAAGTTGCATACAGAATCTGGAATAGCTGACCTAAAAAATAAGAGTATCAATCCTGAAATCCTCTTTCCTGGCAAATCCCAAAGCAATGTGGCTTTCTTGTAACAAGGTTACTTTACAAGTATGGATCTGACCCCCATTAAATATGAGATCAAGTGAATTTCTTAAATTTTATACTAAAAAACTAAAAATATATTCAAATTAACTGAGTATATAAAGCAGTTGTAGCTTTTCCTTTCTAAGTATGACATGAAGTATCATCAAAATCATTGGTATTAAACACATATTCAAAACTTAAAAAGGCCTACAGCTTTAGGAAGAAATCCTTACCTCCTTTAGTGTTGATTTTGTATTTTTTGTAGCCAATCCCCATAATGTAAATGGTCCAAAATACAGGAGACCCTCATTATTTCACAGTTTAATACTTGCTCTTAAAAATTTGCAGTACAGTAATCCCGTGTTTTTTGCGGGAATTATGTTCCTGAAACCCCCGCGAAAAGCCAAAACCACGAATACTCATTTAGGAATCACTCTACCTATGGCCATCAAACAGCTCAGGTAGGTCATGCACTTAACCACGTCATGCTCTCCACTCACGGTCCAGTGGTCACACTGATCACTGATGTACTGTTCCGGCATTTACTAACATCATTATTTGAAACTAATCATATTGTAGTATAGTAAAACCCCGCTTTACGTGGTTTCACTTTACGTGTTTCCACGTTTACGCGGTACCCTGCCGAACACGGAATGCTCACTTTACGCAGTGCGTGTACCCTTTTACGCGGAGAGCAGTTGGCGGTCTTCTCGCACCACACCATTTTTGGATTCAAACCTCCCGCCATGTTGGGTAAGCGGCACGAGTAGGTTGCGCAGTGTATGTCTTTGTTGCGTTATCGGTGATGTCATATGACGTATCGGACTGTGATTGGGCCAAGCACCCTTACCTCCCTCCCCCGCTAGCTGTGATTGGTTTAATGTACTATGACGTGCCCTGCCGCTGGAGTGTTCAAGCCCCTTGACCTACCTGCGTCAGATACACCCCTCCCGGCTACACAGTGTATATCGGTATCCATTGTTCCATAAGAATGGCTTCCACCGGACCACCACCACCACCACAAAGAAACCTTGCATTACCTGGACCCAGCCGCCCTAAGCCAAAGAAGATACGACATTCCCTAAGCTACGAAATTAAATACAAGACCATCCAAGAGTTGGAGAAAGGAACAAGACAGGCTGATCTCGCGCTCCAGCATGGTGTTAACGAATCTACGATCCGGACAATTAAGAAGGATGCAACCAAGATAAAGGAGCACATGAACATCACAAAGTCTACAGGTGCTTTTATGATCAAGTATTGCCACAACCAGGTGCTTCTCAAGACGGAGAAATTACTTGTGAGCTACTTGATTCGTCAGGCGCTACGGAACATGGCGGTGGACACACGCTCAGTTAAGGCGTACGCATGTGAACTGTATGCTGCAGCGTCATGTAAGATGCTTCCTCTGGGTGGTTGCAGAGATTTAAGAAGAGGAACAAGATCACCAACATTAACATTGGTGGTGAAGAAGTTAGTGCTGGTCGTGTTGCGGCTAGGGATTTTCCTCCGTTTTTACATGAGATTATGGAGGAAGGACAGTACACTGACAACCAGGTGTTTAACATGGACGAATCTGGTCTTTTTTGGAAAAAGCTACCTTCCAAGACCTTCGTTGTAAAGAATGCCAGCAAGTGTCGGGGCCGGAAGTTGCAGAAGGAGCGCATCACCGTCCTGTTTACCACCAAAGCCTCCGGTACCTGTAAGCTCAAGTTATCGGTAATCCACACAGCACGCAAGCCGCACGCCTACAAGAGCATGGACATGACCAAGCTAAATGTCCATTGCACGTAAGGCATGGATGTTCTCTACTCTGTCCCTCTCCTGGTTTGATGACTGTTTCGTTCCCGACGTGAAGAAATTATGTGAGCAACAGAATGTTCCATTCAAGATTTTGTTGCTGCTTGACAACGCACCAGGACACTCACCCCTACTGTTAGATCGTCACCCCAACGCAAAAGTGGTCTTCCTTCCTCCCAACACTATGTCATTAATACAGCCCTTGGACCAAGAATTGATCTGTAATGTGAAAGCTGCATTCTCTGCAAAGAAATTCAAGCTCCTGAACGACTACACCAACACCAAGGATGAGTTCCGGACCTTGGTGACACCGATAGCAAGAGCGAAGACAACGAGGAACAACAGTTGGCAGAGCAAGTACTACTTGTGAAACAATTTTGGAGAAAATTCAACGTCAGGAAAGCTGTGGACTTCTTGGTGGAGGCATGGATCAGCTGTCTGCAGCAACGGTTCATCACGCATGGAGACATGTGTTGCAAGGTATTCCAGGTGGGAGGCAGTCAATCTGTGACTGGTGAGGTTCAGACTGTTGCAGTAGCAGTGGACCTTGCCAGAGAAGCTGCGCAGAGTGTTACAGCTGAAGGCTTCTCCGAGACCACCATCAACGACATCCTGGAGGTTATAAGGGATCCTCATGTGACTGCCGACGAGATGTTAGATGATGATGATGACGTCAGTGAAGAGGCAGGTGGTGCATCATCCCAAGAAGGACGCAAGTTATCGCATACGTAGTAATGTTAGGGGTGCCATCAAGTGTGTTGAGAAACTCAAGCTCCTCCTTTCCGACGACCCTGACGATAACCAGTATGAAGTCTTCACTACCCAACTGTTGCAGACTATGGAGCCCTACATCAAGGTGTATTACAACAACATCAACACCAGCCGTCACCAAAGCATTACCGAGTTCTTCGCCCGCAACCCACCACAGCCAGCCCAAGCCAGTGATAGTGACAGAGACAGACAGTGATGGTGACTTTGAGGGATATGTCAGGGAGGTACTAATAAGTAAGGATGACAGTGATGAAGACTCACCTGAGGGCCAGTAGCCTGCCCTCTGCCTCGGAACCAGCCTCCATTCCCGTACGCCGACCCATTTCTTCTACTGACATAAGTGTTAACCCTAACCTTGTTTCTTTCTAACCTAACCTACAGTATATTATTCTCTTATTGATTGTTCCCTTCTATATTATGTGTGTGTGCATACCATCATAAAGTTAAGATGTTATTTTTACTAAAACGTACGTATGGTGTCGGGGAAAAAGTGGAGTTTGGGGGTCGCCCGGTCTCTATTTAAATTAATCCCATATGTTATGTTGGTCACTTTACGCGTTTCTCGCTTTACGCGGGCCGCCATAGGTTCAATTGACCGCGTAAAGTTAGGGTTCACTGTATAATAATGGGAAAAGGTAAACACAGTTAGTATACACAAAAAAAAATTATTTACAGTGGTCCCTTGGTTAACAAACTCAATTCGTTCCAGAGGGTCACTCATTAACCGAAAATTTCGCTAACCGAAACCATTGTTTCAATGGGATTTTGGGTAAGTGGTTCCAGCTCACCAAAAATTACATACAAAGTAAAAAAAAAATGCAGTAAAGTACACTTACTTTGAGGTGTGTATGTAAAAGGCTCCTGGTTGATGATTCTGATGCGAATTTGAAGTGGGAGGTGTAGGAGGAGAAGGGAGAAGAGAAGGAAGTGAGGGTGGAGGAGAAGCATTTTACTGCTTCTTGGAAGGCGCGGCACCTTCCATAAAAATGTCAGGAACCTCTGGACTGACAGATTCTCCAGCAGGAAAATCCTCTTTCCTTTTTGAAGTGGAAGGCTGAGGGGTAGCATCTTTCTCCCACTGCCATTTAGAGAAGAAATTGTCAATTTTTCTTTGTGGGGCATTTCTCCTCCTCATCATTCACTGATTTTTGAAGGAGACCACTCTGTCCTCAACATTACACAAAATAGGTTCTGTTGTTTCCACATCTGGGTGCCGTGAAGCCAGTTTCCTGAACATCTCCCAGAGGTGAACAACATCTTTTGAATCGGAAGAAGGACATATGGTCATCACTTTCCTTTTCCTCCTCACCACTGTCAGCTTCTAACATCTCATCCAGTTGCTACAAGTTATCAGGAGTAAGCTCCTGCTCATGAGACATCACAAGCTCTTCCACATCATCCTCCTCCACTTTGAGTCCCATTGACTGACCAATGGACACAATCTCCTGGTCCAACTCCGCTTTTTCCTCAAATCCCTCAAAATCATGGACTGCTGATGGCCACAGTGCTTTCCATGCAGAATTGAGGGATCTAATGAAGACTTCTTGCCATGATGACACAATCAATTTTACAGCCTCCAGGATGTTGAATTGTGTCTTCCCCAGAACTGTGCCAGTGTTAGTTCAGGATCAGTGGAAGTTGCCTGATGACATCTCCTGATTATTTTCTTCATGTACAGCTTCTTGAAGTTGCTGATTACATTCTGGTCCATTGGTTGTATAATTGATGTAGTGTTGGGAGGCAAAAACAACACTGTGACAAAATCAAATCGAGCCTCCAAAGTGCTGGCAAGTTCAGGGTCATGACCAGAGGCATTATCCATAAGAAGAGCCTTTAAATGGAGTTTATTGGTGGTTAGGTAGCTCTTCACAGAAGGGCAAAACACCTCAACAGCCCATTCATTAAAGAGGTGTCTTGTTAACCATGCTTTACGGTTGGACTTCCAATAAACTCCAAGTTGTCCTCTTACCACCTTTTGTTGCTTGAACACCCTGGGATTTTCAGAGTGGTAGACAAGCATAGGCTTCAGTCGGAAATCCCCTGAAACATTGTCACCAAGCTATAGAGTGAGACGGTCCTTCATGGGTTTATGCCCAGGTAAAGAGTCATCTCTGGTGATGAATGTCCTTTTGGCCATTTTCTTCCAGAACAGCCCAGTTTTGTCCACATTGAACACTTGCTGTGGAAGATAATTTTCTTCATCCACCAGTTCCTTAAACTCCACTACAAATTTTGCTGCTCCTTCTTTATCTGCACTGGCAGCCTCACCATGCCTAACAACACTAAAAATGTCACTTCTTTTCTTA